CTTTCCCTACATAGTTTTTCTATAAAAACTGGTTTTATAATCACGGGTGGAAAAGGGCAGGTTGAATCAAGGTGAATGAATCTTAAATGAACACACCTGCCTGCCATCGCTGTTCCTTCAACTGAGTGCTGCACATCATGGGCTCTGTCTGTGAGAGAAAAATCCCGGTGCTTGGTGTCCTTGCATGACATGGAGTTTTGCATGTAGATCAATTTAAAATGTACCTCTTGTTTACATAATTTGCATAATTTTAAAAGATAATGTTGCCAAACTTTGGAAATGTTAATGTTCAAACTGAAAATCTCCACTACATGTAACTTTCTTCCTCTGGATCAGTACGTGGCTTATAATCCCAGCCAGTGGTTTGATCTGTTCCAGTGTCAACTGCCATGTGCTCTGCTTCAAGGGGGAACTAGTCTTTTGTGAATTTTTTGTACATAAGTATTTGTTACAAATATTTTAGCAAATGCTTTCTATTTCTCTTGCTTGTGCATATCTTGGCTGGCGTTACAGAAAAATAGTGCAAACATTATTTCCTTACTGGGGAATGAGGGGTTTTTTTTCTTTCCTTCTTTTTTTTTTTTTAGTTTGTGTGTGGGGGTGGGTAGGGGAGGGGGTGGTTTATGTTGAATGTTTAGTTTTTCTTCTGCATGATACGTCATGTTGTGGGATCTTTAGAAAACTTCATACTGTATGAATAAGAAAATAAAATATTTGAAACTTGCTTGCATGTATTCAGTTGTCTTTGATGGGCTTCCACAGCCATAAGATAGTTTTTATTCATTCTTTTAGGTTTTTTATAAACTGTGATAAAGTGATATTTGATCCTTCACTTTTAAGTCATGGGTAAAATAAATTTGCTTCATCACTGGGTTAAAAAACACAAGTCATACAAAAACATACAAAGCCCTGTAGGACTCTCTCCCCTGCCCCCAATTAGATGAGATTTTCCTGATCCCATCCCTTACTATTGACCCTTTCTCTGCTCCGGCCCTCTTAGCCTCCTTGTGGCACCTGGAGTCTGGCTGCTCCCATGTTAGGCCTTCCCACTGTCCGTCCCTCTCTGCTCCTCCTGCTCCCCCCGCCCCCCAAATCCCATAGCTAATGTCTTCAAGTCTGTGTTTAGTTATGTCCTGGCTCGAAAGAAACTCTCCTATTTAAAAATGCAGATTCACCTGGGTCCCTTTACCCCTATTTTTTTCCTTTACTGACACAATTTACTTACTTTGTCTTTCCTGGCTGTTGAATGAAATTAGTGCACCACTAATGTAGTGATTTATCTGTTGTCCACTGATAGCCCCGGTTGTCCAGAATATTTCCTAGCTGTTAGTATTTACTCATTATTTAATAAATGAAGTAACATGTGACAACCCATTTATGCAGGTTGTGATTTTATAATAAATGCTATTCAATACTTCGTCACTGCATAAAATGTAAAAATTGGCATTTTTTGAGACTCATTCAACTGTGATTTATTCAACAACTCTACAGTCCCTACGTCATGTCCAGCACTGTAATAGGCACTTGACATACTCGTGACACCCCTGGCCCAGATGAGTTGCAGGTTGTTGAGGATGTTTTATACCCAGAATACCCATATTGTCAGGTGTGCACTAGTCACAGGATATTATACACTAGGTTCTGTGGCTCCTTAAGAGTGTCCTACGAGTATAAATTTGTTAAGCCTAAGCAAGTAGATGGATAAGTTCCAGAGCTCCGTTTCTTTACCTACTTGTAACAGTTTTGAGAGTAGACAAGATGGCCATCCAGAGTGAAATGGCAACTCAATGGGGGAAAACAGTTGCAAATCATCTGATAAGAGATTGATGTCCAGAATATTCAAAGAACTGCAACTCAGTAACAACAAATCCTGATTAAAATCTGGGTAGAGGACTTGAATAGCCATTACTGCAAAAAATACACACAAGTGGCCACTAAGTACATGAAAAGATGTTCAACATCATTGGTCATTAGGAAACGTAAATCAAAGCCACAGTGAAACACCACATCCATTAGGATGGGCTAACGTGTTGTGGAGAGATTGGAACCTCTGTGCATTGCTGGTGGGAATGTAAAATGGTACAGCCACTGTGGAAAAGGTATGATGGTTCCTCAGAATAATCACCGTATGATTCAGGAATTCCACTTTTGGGCATATAACCAAAAGAAGTGAGGGAGTCCAAATAGGTCTTTGTACATCTGTGTTCATGGCAGCGTTATTCACAACAGCCAAAAGGTGGAAGCAACCCAAGTATCTGCAGATGAATGCATAAACAATGTGGAATATTATTTAGCTCTAACAACAGCAAGGTAATTTTGACACATACTATATATATAACATGGATGAACCCTAAAGACATGCTAAGTGAAATACGCCTGTCACAAAGGAACAAGTGTGTGATTCCACTTAAGAGTCCCAGAGTACACGGGCTGGGAAAGGGGGAAATGGAGAAAATTTATTGGGGACAGAGCTTCAGTTGCTGAAGGTTAACTTCTGAAGATGGATGATAGTGACGGTTGCACAATAATGTGAATGAACTTAATGTCACTAAATTGTATGTACACATAAAAAGAATGGTAAATTTTATGTATATTTTACATTTTTTTTTTTTTAAATCAGTCTTTCTAGATGGTTTCCAGGACTTACCCACAAAGAAAATGCTGTTCAGGCTCACACCTTCAAACATTAATCGTTGGTCTTCAAAAACTCCCATACATTTAAAATGCTCTCATTGCAGTAGCTGAAGTTTAAGTTAAAGTCCATTGCCATTTCAACCTTTCGCTTCCCTTGGGCATTAAAATCTGTGAGCTAACCAGATCAAATAGGTGAGTCCTTGCTCTCTCAAGCCTCCTGAAAACTTACTGGTTTCTTTGACCAAAGGAGTAATTTGTATTTGCGCAAGTATTTTACAAGTCGTAGAACGGCTGTGTACATGTCACAGCCTCATGTCACATATGCTTTCAGTAATGTTTTAAGCATGCTGTCCCAACCTAAACATGGTTAACATGGCTCTAGGATCAGGAGAATTGGTCTCTTTCCTACATGCTCAGTAAGCACAAGCTTTCTTCCCTACCATCCCAGTTCTAGGTGGCGTGGGAGTTGGAGTCCAAATCTTTCAGAGTGACCAGGAAGAAAACCCTACGATCTCCTCCCTTCTCAGCCACAAATACCTAAGAAAATACTCTTCTCTTAGGCTCATCCCCCAGGCAATGCACCAATGAATAGATAAGTGAACTGTTAGATGTCAGGAATGTACTAGATAGAGTATCCAAAGATCCCCGAGAGGCCTTAGAGTGGCAGGCAGATATAATAATTATAGCATGACAAATGCCACAGAAACATGGATAAGGTTTAAAATATTAGATTGTGTCTTGGTCACAAGACAGGTTTAATGAAGTTATTAACATTTGATCTAGGTGGTTAAGATCAACTACCAGTGCAATATAGTCAAATTTGTTACTTCTATTCCTTCTTAATCCTTTCCTATCAAGAATTATTTCGGTTCCCTCTAACATTTTCTCTTCCTTTCAAGCCCCAATTAGTACCACTCTCCAAGGGGGAAGGGGAGATATAACACTTAACTAAGGATAGGCCCAAAATAAGTCCTTCAACCAAAGTTCAGCATTAACAGCTGCCTGGGAAATACATTTGCTCTCTGGTATAGTTTTAACTATGTAAGAGAGCTTCAAAATGAAGTTAATTCAAACAATACAAAAATGTTAGTTGCCTTTAATACAGAGAAATCGTACTTTCCCAATCAAAGTTATGCTCTTAACTTTCTGCCTCAGTGCCTTAAAAATCAACCCAAAACATTTATGGTTAGCTAGCAACGGTTTCTTTCAGCCAAGTGTTTTGAAAACCTAATGAAAGCTGTGGACATTCCCCAGAAAAATACACATTAAGTAGTCCTAATTTTGAATGTACTTCCTAGGCAAAGGGTGAGGGTGGGCAAGTACATCTGGAAGCCTGGACAGACTGCAGAATGAAGCCCCAAATGTGAGTAAAGGGATCTGATAACACCATACACATACTTTCTCCATGCTGTTGTGTTGCAACAGGATAAAAAATTATTTGGGGCAGGATATTTTCAGTTGAATTCGTAGTTAGTACGTAAGTATATCCAATTCCATGTAATGTACAAACTAGCTGTGAACAGTGGCACATGTAGCTGATAAAAGCAAACAACAGCTTAATAAGAGTACTTTTTCTTTTAGTTCTTACATGAACTTTCTGATACTCTTCTTTAAAAGTTTTCAAAGAGTTTTAAAGATGTACAAGAGACTGCACTATCAAAATCATGTTTAATAAAGGTCCTTCCATTTAAAAATGCATAAAATAATCAGATAATAAATAGGCAGACCCTAGTTAAAAATCTATTGCACAATTTTTATTGGGGGGGGACATTCTTTTACCATTTCGTCTTTACTATGAAGAAATACAGACTTAACGACTTACGATGGTTCTACTTACGCTTTTTCAACTTTACAATGGCATGAAAGTGTTAGGCATTCAGTAGAAGCTGTACTTGAAGTACCCACAGAACCAGTTTTTCACTTTCAGTACAGTATTCAATAAATTATAAGATATTCAACACTGTATTGGCTTTATGTTAGATGATTTTGCTCAACTGCAGACTAAGTGTTTTGAGCATGTTTAAGGTTCAGTAGGTTAGGTGTATTAACTACATTTTTGCCTTATGATATTTCAACTTACAATGGGTTTAGTCAGACATGAATGTATCATAAGTTGAGGAGCATCTGTATACTCAATATTGGTAATGTCTGACTACTTTCACTAAACGCTTATTTGAAAAATAAAACTCTTTCCTCATATCAATCTTGTGACGACGTAGGTCTTTAATTTTAAAAACTGCAAAACAGGTATAAAAATTAGCCCTTATTAATTCATACAGTATAGCTAAAACTGCTATTTATGACCTAATACTAAAAAGCTCACACACCACATAGTATTTAAGAAGGGATGGGTTTCATAGAGAGGGTTTCTGAGATGATCCTTTTAATTACAATTTATAAAGAAGAAATGTTTATAAATTTATAACATTTTATAAATTTATAAATAAAAACTTACAAATTCACATAGAACTGTTTGAGCAAGAAGTTTCCTTCCAAATGAGAGGATTACAAACTATGCAGATCTGCTACATACAATTTAAAATGAAAAAAAATTATAAATTATACCTAATGTGTAAGTATAATAATGGTATTTGACTTTGATATTTAAATACTCCTAAAAGCTGTTAGGTGTGAATACTACTACACCTTTCCTTTCTGTTTATGCTCTGGCAGAGAATGGAAGAAGTGACCAAGGCTTAAAATGACTGAAATTCTTCACATGGTTTCTTGTGATGAGTTGTAGAGTGTAAGGTCTTTTTCCTAGAGTCCAAAGACAAAATAAAAAGTCTCTGATTTGAAATCAGAATCGGTCTGCTGATCTGCTAGCCACAGCTCGAATATTGCCATAAACTTTTGATGGAGGATTTCCTGCAAAGGAAAAAAAAAAGTAGTTCTATATGTATAATACATGTATACAAATATACTCACATAGACAGAAACTACAGTCATCCCTTGGCATCTGTGGCAGGGTTTCAAAACCCCTGCAAACAGCAAAATGCTCAGATGCTCAAGTCCCTTATTGAAAAATAGTATATGTGCATATAACCTACCTATATCCTCCCATATACTTTAAATCATCTCTAGATTACTTATAATACCTCATGCAATGTAAATGCTATGTAAATAGTTGTTATACAGTATTTTTTTATTTGCAGTGTTTTTTCTTGTGTTATTTTTTGTGTTTTAAGAATGTTTTTGATTTACAGTTGGTTGAATCTGCAGACGTGGAACCTGTAGATACAGAGGACCAACTGTACATGGAAAAGGGTCTACAACCCTAAAAAGAACAGGGACATTTTTTTATTGGCTCTACTTTAAACCAAAAAAGCTTTTAAGGAAATCATACCCAAATAGTCTCCAAAAGACATTTTAAATTTGTAAGAGCCAAAAGCACTGAGTTGTCAAAATACTTCGAAAAGAAGCCAGTTAGCCAGACCTGGGCACCAAAGTAAAATCCCCAGTACTTTCTGAGCAAGCTTTTAGGATTCTATGACTCTTATCATAAAGTACTACTGGCTTTGCTGCAGGATCCTGAAAATGGGATTAAATGGATCAATTGAATTGATCAAAGCTATTCAGCAGCTCCTTTTTTGTTGAACCTAAAATGTGATGTTCCCGGCTAGTCTGGAATGGCTCTGCTGTGTACCTCATTGGGAAAGCAGCACAGATCTAAGCAATATTACCCAGCAAACACTTTCTCTTCTCTAGCAGACAAATGTAACCTAAGCAAAAATATTTCTACTTTTTTCTCTAGGTCCACATTTGCCAACTCCCAAGGGTTTCTACTTGCCATCTTTAACATTACCCTAAACTGCTTTGCAGATGTGGTTTGCATCCCTAAATTAACTCCCTATTCTTTCCTGAGAAAACACCAAAAAATAAACTGCTATTACCCAGGATGAGGTTGCAAACGGCAGTTCTTGCCATCTTGATGTTTTGGAAAGAGCCAAGGATGTGAACTTTCCTGAAAGAGATAAAATGAGACAAGTTGGTAACAAAAAGCATTTCCTTACTGAAGTCTTATAAGCCAAAAACTGGAAAATGATGGATCCAGATTCCTAAATGAAGGTGGTAGTGACGGCTGCACAACTCTGTAAATATACTAAAGACCACCTTTAAGAATGGTGAATTTTATGATATAATGAATTATATCCCAATAAAAAAATATTAGAAAAGATAAAAAATAAAAAAACAAAAACAAAAAGTTCTTTAAGATTCTTGGTTAATACAGGCTGCCATCCAGTGAGTGCTTTCTCTGTGCTAGGGGCTTTATATACATGTTCTCATTTAATCCTCACATGACCTTTTTCATTATGTAGATGTTACTTCCATTTTACAGATGAAGAAAGAAGTTTACAAAAAGTTTAAAAAGCTGCCCAAGTTTACACACTGGCAAAGTTGATTATTAAACACTTAGAAATGCAAATAATACTGTATTCAATTATAACATATTTGGGTTTCAGCTGCAAAGTTTTCTAAAGATTATCTGAATTTAAGTACTCTGAGGATCATTCCAGACCTTTTAATGGGCTTTCCTTACTGAATTACTCAAATAAGATAGATAATCAGAATTTCGACTATTTGAGTCCATCTTCCAAAGTGTTTTCACTGTGCCCTCTACAATAGTTATCAGCTAAATCCTCCATATCTTCAACTTCTGTTAACATTCCCTTCACACCTTCTTACTTTAATTAAAACTCAGCTTTCAAATGGTGGCCAGTTTTTCCTTCACACACCACATACCACTGGTCCTGGAGGAGGGGCAGGTGCCTTCTGGCTCTTTATGCCACATCCAGACCAGCACTCCCCTCCTTCCTCCCTTAAAACACCTTCAGCTCTGAATCTGCGCTCGGCCCACATCACCTACCACGCCATCTGGTCCTCAGAGGCCCTGTGGATCATCCTCGAAGACTTTAGCTCCTGGCTGGCTTTCTCTCACTGTTCCCATCACCATTCTTGATAATTTCAATGTCCATGAAGGTGGTAATTCTAATGCCTGGTCTCTTGGTCCTTGACATCTTTTATACCAATATTGGATCTTGTTTTCTGCCCTACTCCAGCCTCTCACTGCCATGGTCACACCCTGGACTTGGTCATTACCAAAAACTGCAACTCCTCCACAATTTCAATTTCAAACATCCAACTCTCCCTCTACCACCTTCTGTAATTCCAATTCATACCACCTCATCTACCAACATCAATAATCTTTTGACCCCACCAGGACCTCCCAACTATTGACCCTACCCACCTGCACTGCCCTTCACATCCTGCCTCCCCCACTCAGCTGACAATTGTCCAATGACTTCCCATACTCTTGGAGTAAAAGCCAAAGTCCTTATGGTGACCTCAAGGCCCTGTTATTTCTGACCTCATCTACCACGCTGCCCCTTGCGTATCTTGCCAAGCCAGTCAGGCCCCCTCACTTTTTGCCAGACGTGCTCTCAGCTCAGGACCTCTGTGCTTTTTCTTCCCTCTGTAACGCTTTTCCTCAAGATACCTGCAAATGCGTTCAAAACACACATTTAGATATGCTCCTTCCCCAAACTTCACTAAAATAACAGTAAAGACATAAACTCAAAAGGAATAAGAGGAATCCAGAAAGGTGAAAAGCAGATAGATGGGCAGGAACTAACTTTGCAGACCCAACTACAACTGATGCATAATTTGGCACTGGGAATATTGAGAAGCAGAACTCCGAGAAGAGACTCCAAGAACCAAAGGATTCTAACAGCAAATGAGCTAAGGTGAAAGGTGAACCCACGATGGCCATAGTGTACCAAGGATGAAGGCAGAGAGGGCAGGGGTATGTTTGGAAGAAAATCCTCTAGGAGAGATTTCTAAAATGTCTGATACATCTTTAAGAGGACATAAAGGCAATGAATAGATTTTTACTGAATTAGTACAATGAAAATTAAGAAAGCACACAGACACACAAGAACTACTTCCACAAGCAGCACATTTTCTCAGGACTTCTTGAGGCCATGGGCTCCAGGCCAGTCACACACATTCAGCACAGAATAAACCTCTTTAAATTAAAATACGAACCAACCAACAAACAAAAAACAAAAAACTTCCTCAAATGAAAACAATATTGCAAAGGAAAGATAAAGTAATCACAGTATTTCACCTGGCTCAATTATAAACATACTGAGCACTGATTTTTGTTCGCAGGCAATATTGAACTCCTGAATACTGATCTACCAAGGGCACAGGTGACTATGGTGAAGACAGGAATCGGTAAGCTGGAGTGGTAGAAAGGCTGAGTGTATGTGGTAGAGGCAAGAGAGGGCATGAAAGAATGCTAAATCTTCATCTTTCAGGGTAGAAAGTCAATAGTGAATCTCAAAAATAAATCAGGAAGCTGTATATAAGCAAAGTATCTAGAAATAGAGACATAAATAATTTTTTAAAATTAGCTAAAAGAGTTGAAATTGGTTCCTCTAAAGAGGGTGAAATGGAGGCAGGTAGCAGAAACTTTTGTTTTCTTAACTATGTGTATGTCTTATTTTGATAAAAATGAAATTATTTAAAATAGAGCATGGAAGATGAGGAAATAAATACAACAAGAATAGATATTTAAGTGGGAGTAGTGTTGCTGCTAAAAGAACCTACTTTATAGTGCAATAGTTGGGAAAAGAATGCAGGTTTCAAGACACATAGGCAACATTACTTCCCATCTGCTACACTGAATATATCTGGGACAAATTGTTTTTAGTTTTATATCTTGCTCACAGTATAGTGTATTTTGGCAGGTTATTAGCAAGTCATCAAAAATAACACTTACAGGGTGGGCGTGGTGGCTCATGCCTATAATCCCAGCACTCTGGGAGACTGAGGTAGGAGGGCTGCTTGAGGCTAGGAGTTTGAGACCAACCTGGGCAACACAGGGAGACCCCATCTCTACAGAAAATAAGAAAAATAATCTGGACATGGTGGCATGCACTTGTGGTCCTAGCTACTCAGGAGGCTGAGGCAGTAGGATCACTTGAGCCCGGGAGTTTGAGGCTGCAGTGAGCTATGATAGGACTGCACTCCAGCCCAGTGACAGAGTGAGACCCTCAAGACCATGTCTTGGGGGGGAAAAAAAAAAGAAAGAAAGGAAATCATTGAGGAGAAGGAATATCTGCCTCAACAGGTTTTTAATGCAGATGAAAGCACTGTGTTCTGGGAAAAAGTGCCAGAAGGACATTTATTAATAAGGAAGAGAAGCAAGCACCAGGATGTAAGGCAGGAAGGGATAGGCTAACTGTTGTTTTGTGTAAATGCAATCAGGTTTATGATCAGGACTGCCTTTACCTACAAAGCTGCTAACCACCAAGTCTTAAAGGGCAAAGACAAACACCAGCTGCCAGTCTTTTGGTTGTAAAACAAGAAGGCCTGGACAATGAGGACCCTTTTTCTGAACTGGTTCCATTGAGGCTTTGTCTCTGAAGTCAGGAAGTACCTTGCCAGTAAGGCTGACTTTTAAAGTTCTTTTGATATTGGACAATGCCCCTGGGCACCCAGAATCCCATGAGCTCAACACCAAAGATGCCAAAGTAATTTATTTGCTCCCAAATACAATGTCTCTAATTCAGCCTCTAGATCAGGGAGTCACAAGGATCTTTAAGGCTCATTACACAGTACTCTATGGAAAGGATTATCAATGCTATGGAAAAGAATCCCCATACAGTTCAGAACATCACGAAAATCTGGAAGGATTACACCACTGAAGATGCCATGATTGTTATAGAAAAAGCCGTGAAAGCCACCAAGACCAAAACAATTAATTCCCACTGGAGAAAACTATGTTCAGATGTTGTCCATGACTTCACAGAATTTTTACAACAAAGCCAATCCAGGAAATCATGAAAGATATTGTGGATATGGCAAAAAAGGTGGGGGGTGAGGGTTTCAAGACACAGATCTTGGAGAAATTCAAAAAAGCTGACAGACGTCACAGCAGAGGAATTAACAGAAGACTCGATGGAGATGAGTGCGGTGAACCAGTGCCAGACGAGGAGGAGGAAGATGTAAAAGAAGCTGAGCCTGATAACAAATGGACACCAATCTGCCAGAAGGGTTCCGATTATTCAAAACTGCCTTTTGACTTCTTTTACAACATGGACCCTTCCATGACACAAGTATTAAAGCTAAACAAATGGTGGAAGAGGACTGGTACCACACAGAAACATTTTTAGAGAAATGAAAAAGCAAAAGTCAGACAAAAATTACGATGTATTTCCATAAAGTTAAACAGAGTTAACAGAGTTACCTGCCTCTCCCACCTCCCCTTCTACCTCCTCCACCTCTTCTGCCTCCGCCACCCGAGACAGCAAGACCAGCCCCTCCTCCTCCTCCTCAGCCAGCACTCAACACGAAGATGATGAGGATGAAGACCTTTATGATGATCCACTTCCACTTTAATGAACAGTAAGGATATTTTCTCCTCCTTACTATTTTCTTAATAACATTTTCTTTTCTAGAGAAAGCTAGAGCTTACTTTAAGAATACAGTATATAATACATTTAACATACAAAATACATGTTAATCAACTGTTTATGTTATCCATAAGGCTGCCAGTCAACAGTAGGAGTAGTCAAGTTTTAGGGAAGTCAAGTTGTATGTGGATTTTCGACTGTATGGGGAGTTGGCACCCCTAACCTCTGCATTGCTCATTCAGCAATAAACAGGAACTACTGACATACCCAAAAAAGTGGAGAAACTCAAAATAACATACTAATTAAAAGAAGTCATACACCCAAACCTACATACTATGCATTTCCATTTAAATGAATATCTGGGAAAGGTAAACCACAGTGACACATAGTAGAGCGGTGGTTGCCTGGGAACACAGTGGGGGCAGAGGACTGACCACAAAGATGCACAAGAGAATTTTCAGGGTGATAGAACTGTGTAAGTGTGGTAGAACTACAGGACTATATGACACTTGCCAAAAATTCATTGAACTAGATACTTAAAACAGGCAAATTTTATTGTATGTAAATTGTGCCACAGTAAAGCTATTAAAAATTGGTTCAACTTGTAAGCTAACACTTATAAATATACAAATTATAAATTTAATGACATAGTAACCCTAATCTCATTGCAAATTAGTTGACAGTTTTGGATTTCTAAAGTCACAAAAGCTTTTAGGGCTATTCAGCCAGTCCTGACTTACGATGATTCCGCTTAAGATTTTTCAACTTCAGGATGCCCCGAAAGTGACACACTTTCAGTACGCTCCTCAACTTACAATGAGGCTGCCTCCAGACAAACCCATCATGCGCTGAAATATCCTAAGGCAAAAACACACTTTGACTTATGATATCTTCAATTTATGACGGTTTTATCGAAACACAATACCATTGTAAGCTGGGGAACATCTACATATAGTATTTTAAAATGTAGTGTACATTTCCACATTTTAAAAACTTCCAGTTCCAAAAAGCTTTTCACATGGCTCCATATTTCTAACTCTAGCGGTCAATCCATAAAATAAAAAAATATTATACCCTAGTTTTAGGTAAAGAGGACCATCAACATAGTATTACAATTATCCTTAAAGTATAAAGAATGTGTAAAATACAGATTCTAAATAATGCTGTGCCTTTCAGTTTAGAGCAAAAATGAGATGATATTAAATGAAATTATTTCTGGATTTAATCTAAGTCAGAGCCCTCCTCTCAGTCAACTGCTTTGTTTCCCAACTTCACGGCATGGCATTATATCCTCTGAGCCATCTGGCTGTAAGACCTCCAACTTGGAAACAAAACAGTTCCAACCTCAGAGAGGGATAATCCCAGCTTTACTTCTGTTACCCTTATTTTAAGCCAATATCATCTTATTTACATTCACTCATAACTGCTCTCTAGTTTTTTTTTTTTTTTTTGCAACAGGGTCTCACTGTCACCTGGGCTAGAATACAGTAGTGTCATCCTAAGTCACTGCAACCTCAAACTCCTGGGGCTCAAGCCATCCTCCCGCCTTAGCCTCCCTAGTAGCTAGGACTACAAGCGAGTGCCACCACGTCCGGATAATTCTTCTATTTTTTGTGGAGATGGGGTCTCACTACATGGCTCAGGCTGGTCTCAAACTCCTAGCCTCAAGTGATCCTCCTGCCTCGGCCTCCCAAAGTGCTAGGATCATAGGCATGAGCCACCGAGAGTGGCCCATGTTCTCTAGTTTTTTATCCAATGTGCAATAGTCACCTTTCTTTTATATATGAAAGCTGTTAACATACATATGTATATATACACCTATATGAAAATACAGATATATAAGTAAAGCATATATTTTTTAAAAGACTCACAGTAGCATTTGAAACACCCATTGTTTGGTCTCCCTTCTGATTTATTAGATTCATCTGAGATACTATCTAAATCTTCATCAGTAATATAATTTCTTTTAACAATGTTTCTAAATATTTCCCTTATTGCTAAATGAGAAAAAAAAATATAATTTCTGGAATTTTCTCAACTAACTTAATCTCCTTTCAGATCAGGTGATGATCTAGTCACGCAGAACCATATACAGACAGTCCCTAACTTAAGATGGTTCAACTTACACTTTTTTCACTTTACCATGGTACAAAGGGGATCTGCATTCACTTTGCTGTACTTCAAGTACACAAATAACCATTCTGTTTTTCACTTTTAGCACAGTATTCAATAAATTACATTAGCTATTCAACATTTTATCATAAAATAGCCTTTGTGTTGGATAATTTTTGCCAACTATAGGCTACTGTAAGTGTTCTGAGCACGTTTAAGGTAGACTAGCCTAAGCTATGATGTTCAGTAGGTAAAATAAATGCATTTTAGATTTAACAATATTTTCAACTCATCATGGGTTTATTGCAATGTAACCCCATCATAAGTCCACGAGCATTTGTACTAACAGAGATTTAGTGGCAACACTGTACATAAAATACCACTGTTACGACTTTTTTTTAAAAACTAACAAGATCAAATACAAATTATGACAATATTTTATCAAGAGCAGATACTTACACATCAGCCAAAACTATCCGAGTCCGCGTCACATTCTCTATGGTGAATTTAGTTTTTCCTCCTTTACCAGCAATTCTTCCTATTGCTCTCGACAGATGGTCTCCCTTTAGTGGCTTAACTAAATGAGAAAAGTAGACCTCAGAAGGCAAGCTATTCCAGGGCACCACCCACTTCCACCAACAGTTGAATCACCAAGTACATTTACCTATAAATGACACAAAATACACATTTTTTAAAAGTTGCTAATAATATAGCTCAAGTGATGCTATTAGACAACTGAGAGTCCAACATAACAGAAAGTCAGCAGTACAAAAAGAGTATTTCACAGGAAAACACCATCACACTCACCATCTGTAATTTCAAAAGACTCTAGAAAGAGATCATCCAACCTGATGAGGGCAAGTGCATCCTATAATATAAAAATGAACATTGGGAAGGTCCTTCCATTTAGACACCTGAGAATCAGTGAAGTAGAAAGCATTGTGAAACTAAAATTTATAAACTCTAGAGCTAAAAAGCTCAAATTTTTAAAAAATGCCCAATCCGCTGAAATGTTCACGCTGAATATTTTTCAAGTCCCCATTTAAGGTGTTATGAAATCACTCACCTCCACCTGAAACCCAAGAATAAAGGCTTTCACAAAATCAGCTGCTTTTGTCAGAGCACTAACATCCTTGGTTTCTTTACAAGTCTGTTAAAGAAAAAAAAGGAGGGGAGGTACAAATTATAGCTGGGAATGAAACAGAAAATGTCCTAACAAAATAACAGGAATGACCTTTCCCCAGTATATTATATATGACCCAGGTTTGGGTGAGACAAATCCTGTATTTCGTTTACAAAACAAAACCTTTCCAGCTCCAGAGCTGGGCAGTTCCACGCAAAGACTGTCAAATGACTGACTGTACCCCACCGTTTGACTGATTAGACTCCAGGGCTAACAAGAAGACACTCTGGCACAGCCCAATCATGCACACTCTGAAGGACTTCTATCCTTTGTTCATCCCTTCAAGGCCCAACCTGGTCCTATTCTCTTCTCCCTCAAGGCAGTCTTCCCTGGGAGTCTTGACCTAATCTTCTGACTTTATCATTTATATGTTGATGTTTTCCACATCAACAACCCCAGTCCTAACTACTTGCATGCCTGGTACTGAAGGAGAAACCAAGAATGGTTTAAGCAGGGATCTGCCTTGAAAGGAGAGCGAGCTACAATTTTCCATTTTCCCTATGGACGGTGACTTTTGGGACATCCTGTATTAACAGAGATGAGTCTACAACAGTCTTGATGATCGTATAAAAATCCTTAAAAAGGAAAGTATAATTAATTTTGGTCATTGATTCTGGTATAAAATTGGCACCCAGAAAAGAAAGCCCCAAGTCAATTAATTTTAAATGTCTAACTCCTGGATTGACGCTATGGAATAAAAACATATATGTATGTAATTTATATTTATTCTTAAAATAATAACATATTTTTTCCCCAAAAAGAGTACCATTAAAACACAGTCATGCACCGTGTAACAATGTTTCAGTTAAAGACCCACCACATTTGTGACAGTGGTCTCATAAGATTATAATGCAGCACATACAGAAACCTGATAAATGGTACTAGATAGCAGAATTGCAGATCAAGTAGGAGAAATGATTGATATTCAGTAATGGTACTGGGAAATTTGTTTTCCATATGAAAATATATGTAAATAAATATTATACACCATCTAGGTTTGTGTAAGTACACTCTATGATGTTCACATAATGCCTAAGGATGCATTTCTCAGAATGTATCCATGACCCTTGACTCTATACAGTGTTTCTAAAACACCGAGTACTTATGTTCATTACTTACATACTTCTGTCTAAGACAATCTCTTTACTTGGCCTTTTCTCAATTCAACACACAACATTATACAAGATACACACAAACATTAAGCCAGTATTTAGTATAATTTCAGAACCAACTTAGGAATTCAATTAATATTTGTACTGAATGAAGATTTTGAAAGCATTTGGGAAGTTCAAATTCACTGTGATAAACTTAAAAACTAGAAGGAAACCACTTAACAGAATAAGTCCCATTAAGGAAAGTCTACTCATGCCTTTTCATCCCTGTAGGGGAGAAAACCTAGTATATTCGGATATGGTTGAGATTCTCCTTACCCTGATTTCTACATTCCTTGATTTCAAGTTAAAGCGTATCTGAAGTCCCAAATGTTCTACTATAGGAGTAAATATCTTCATCCAGTTTTCCTTTAATGGTGTGTATCTGTTCGCTGGGACTGGAATTTTCCTTGTTTCTTCTTTCCCACTCTGCAATAAAAGAACATACAACTCAGGAGACGTACGGAGGAATGAGAGTGGAGTTGTAAAATGAAACCTGATCCACAGAAACTAGTTCCTTTCACTGAACTAAACTTCAGAAGAATCACAGAACAGTCCCCTGCAGCTTCAACAACACCCAGCGGCCACCAGCTTCAACCGCCTCTGGCCTTCCACTCGTCCCTGTCCCAGGAGCCCCTCCAGTACCAGGAGCCCGTCCCCGGACAGGGGCGGGAAGACGGGCCTCTTCGCCGGCCGAGCCTCCTCTGTGTCCATGCGGCCCGCGTCCACGCCCTCCCCCGCTGCAGACAGCTGATCAGCCTGTCGTTTCTTCGCCCGCCGGCCACCCTTGCGGGTAACCTGGGTGAAGCCGTCCTCGGCCCCAGCGCTCTGCGCCTCCATCTCGCCTTCCATCCTCAGAGATCTCTAGCTCCGCCGGGCGCTTCCGGCTTCAACACGTGCGCTGCTGCACCGCGCAGGCGCGCCGCGCAGGAGCTGGGTTTCGCCAACCAACCTCAGGGCTCCGCCCCCTTCCCCGAGAAGTCCCACGCCGGGGACCTGAGGCAGGATTTGGTGAGGGCTGCGGGATATCCTAAAATATGCCTGATTCCGATGGTCTTCCTTCCGCCGCGAACTCACAGCCAAAGCCTTTTGCAATCCCGAATATGTACGTGTGAGAAAGGCAGTGGGTAAAGAGGCGATAAGTGAATTGGTGCCCTCTGTGAATAAACATCTTTGCGCTCCCAGGAGCGCATCTGGCATTATCGGAGTTAACTAAATCCAACTTGTTAGGGCGACTGGGGTTAGAATACGGAAAGCGGGAGGGTCAAACTGTCTCTAACGTTTGGAGTTTGGTTTCCAGGTTGGTGTTTTGTCGGGGTCTGGGAGGGGCGGTTGCCGGAGGTGAAATCGGCTGGACCATGTCGGCCTTCGAGAAGCCTCAGATCATCGCCCATATCCAGAAGGGCCTCAACTACACGGTGTTTGACTGTAAGTGGGTGCCCTGCAGTGCCAAATTTGTGACCATGGGCAACTTCGCGCGGGGCACCGGCGTCATTCAGCTGTACGAGATCCAGCAAGGGGACCTGAAGCTGCTTCGAGAGGTGGGTGTCGGGTCGAGACGACACAGTTCCAGTATCTGGACTGCCGTTGGGGGCGAGTGTGGATCCGGGGGTCTGCATTCCTCTGCCAAAGCCTTCGTCCAGCATTCCCTAAAAGCATAGCTTGAGCTGCGCGGGACCAGAGAAGCTGATCGCAGATTGAGGAATGCTTCCGATTTAAAACCTTATTTTCGAGTTCTGAATTCTCATCCGCGGGCTAGTTCCTCCGCGCCCTGCCGGCCCCTTTCTCCTGCCACCCCCAGCGCAGTCCCGCGCGAGGTTTCTGGGAAGTGAAGTTAAATTTTTGTGTCTCGATTCGAGGACCTTTTGGGCATTCCGCAATTGTTTGTGCAGAGTCTTGTTAGTATGCCCATGTTAGTAAATGCCTTCTCATACAAGCAGAGACAGAGCAGGCAGCAGGATGCCCGCAATGTAGTGACAACCTGACACATTAATTCTTTCGACATGTATCAGCTGAGTGCCTGTACTCCCAGTCATAGGAATGGCAATGTCGCCGATCTCATGGAGTTTTCTAGTGGGAGAGATAATCAGTTCAATAAACAAACCAACGATGCATAAATACAAACCGAGATGAGTTGTTAACAGAAAGGAACACGGTTCTGTGAGAGTAAAAACAGAGCTGGGGTAAGTAGAAGCTAACTAGGCCAAACTAGGAGCAGAGTATGAGGTTTCCAGAGGAAACAGCATGTGCGAAAGCTCAGTAATGGGAGAAAGTTTATCTCCTTAAAAAAACTAGAGGGGTAAGCAGGAACCAGACATTGGACGATCTGTCGGACATTTAAAGGATTTATGCCTTTTTTCTAAGAAAACTGGGACATCATTGACAAACTTTAAGCAGGATGTGGCAAGATCAGATTTACAGGTTTTGTAAAGATCAGTAGTGAAAGAATTAAAGGAAATGATAATAGCTAGCATTTTTACAGGTGTTTATAGTTTTTAAAATGTCTTGATTTGGGTTGCCTGAAAAAATGGTCATGATCAGGTGTTCAGGGTTGTAATCAATTACAAGTGCTGGGAAGGTTGAGAACTCCAAGGGATCAAAAGCCATAGAGAGACTCCACTTGGAGGAGATAAAGGTTAAACTGGTAGATAAGAGATGAATACAATTTAGATAGGTAAGCCTAGAATAGAAGGTGTGTAAGGGCCTATCCCACTTTAAATTTCCCTGAATGCTCCTTTTCTTATTCAGTTTGTTTTCTTTAGCCAGCCACTCAGTGTTTCCAAACAGCCTATTCTTTTCTACCTTTCCTTATGTTTTTCATCACTTACCTCCCAGTCACCTGTTGCTATTCTAATGTTCAGTTCAGATTATCTGATATATGACGTCCTTCCTGATTCTTACACAAAGTAATTTTTCTTTACGTTACATTCCTATAGTACTTACTATCTGTGCCAGAAATATACATCTTGTCCCTTTGTTTATCACTAATTAGATTGTAAGCTCCTGGAGAGTAAGGACAATGCCTTTCTTTAGTGTGATTTGTAAGGAGCAGCCACTCAATAAATTATGTGTTAAAAGAATGAGTGAATGTATGTCTGTAAATAGCATATAACTTGGGAAATTAAATATTGGTTTTTTAATCATTAATCAACTTGGGATCAGGGGTTTGAACAAAGGTGGAATATTAGAAACAAATGCCAATTGAAGGTCAACAAGAGGGCATCTGTAGGTTTGTGTTTTATGATGGAATATATTAGTTGTACACATTTCAGGAATACACTATTCCACCAAGTAAAATAGTGCTCTTCGTCTGTTGTAGAGATTCTGTAGAATTCTAGCACTTTTTAAAAAATAATTTTGTTTTTTAGCAAAAGTAATATATGTTCATGATAGAACATTTAGAAAATACAGATAGGAAAAAAAGAGAAAATATCGCCCATAATCTCAATTCCAGGAATAACCAACCACCTTTTGTATTTTCACCTGGGTCCTTTGGGTCTTTTTTTCTACCATCAATTATCTACTGAGAACATACCAAGGTACTGTGTTAAAAAAGGACCAAAGATACATGAAGGCTGAGTCCATTCTCCTAAAAAGAGGGAAAAACAGATACAAAAATACATTTAAGAATTTACATTGTATTTGGCTGTGATGATGCAATGGAAAGGAATATAGATTAAATAGAGGTTCAGTGATTCTCACCCCTTACACAGTGCATCGTGATCACGTAAATGTATTTTATTGCTGTTGTTTTTGTGTGTGTATGCACTAAAATATTAATGCCTTGTTCCCACCCCTAGAAATTCTGACACAGTGGTACTTAGCTCCATCTAGACTAGAGTAAGGCCCGAACATCAGTATTTTTTAAAATTTCTGCCAGGTGATCTTTATGAGGCCAAGGTTGAGAACCATTAGGCTAGATGGATTATTTATTAAAATATTAGGAAACAAACTTGCAAACTTGATTTATCATTATAGAACCACCCCGAGTCATGTGCTCCAAAGCCCATGCGTCTAAGGAAAAAAGGTATAAAGGAAGGAGATTATTGTGTTGATGTTGCTTCCTTATCACGTTGCTAAAAGTATAGATAGGGAATGGCAGGCAGGGCCTCCGTGTACAGTTGAGCAGTTTGTTGCACCACACAAAGGTGTCTGGCTGAGTGTTCAGGTGGGAGCTGAAATCTCTCCTTCATCAAGCCTTACGTGTGTGAGACTTCATCAGCCTATACAGGGCAACTTTTTTCTAATTGGCACAAAGATACCATATGGACTAGGGACGATCCTGAAAAATGGAATCACCATTGTAGATGTTTATACTGTGAAAATTAGTAATAAGCTGATAAAATTCTGCTTTTTTAGCCCCTGTGCTACTGCATTCACTGCTTGTTAGCATTTGGTTGACTAACTCTTTTAGTGTTAATTAAGTAGTGCCAGGATGTGGAGGAGGAGATACTGACAAGCTGTACTAGACCCACCCGCATACAGAACAAAAATAGCTCTCACAGGAATTATTGATCGTGGGCTTCTTTAATCTTGTTAACTTCTTATTGTAGTAAAGAAAACTAAGAGCTAAATCACGTACAGCCATCATTGATGGTCATTTTCAGTATCATATAACAAAAATTGTTATATATTATTTTTCTTTGTGGAGCAATTTTTGCAAAATAGATCTTCATTTTTTTAACCAGTTTTCTAGCAAGAAAATTTTTAAGTTACCACTGAATTCTTTTCATCTTTTTTTTTCCATAGATAAAATATTTAACAGGGGCAGAGAGGGACCCCTTTTTTGTGAACTATAAAAATTTAGCTTTAGTAGTGTCTTCTTTTAATTTAGCTGCTGTTATAATTTCCATCAATGTCTGAGGAAAGAAAAAACCCAGCTTTTATAAGTCCATCTGCCAGCAAAGTTCAGCCCTTCTGATCAAAGTACAGTCCTCACTGAACACAAATGATAAGGTGTTAAAACATTTGAGTTTAATGTCTTATATTTTGAGTTTAATTTGATTCTTGTACAAGATACCACTAGTATCTATAAATATCTAAATATCTATGTTTCTTTGATATAAGAAGAGAAAAGAGAACATGAGGGAAGCATAATACCATCTATTCATATCTTGTAAAGATAGGAGATAAAGGTAAAAACTAAGGGACAGAAATCAAAGTAGGTTTAATTCATGCCTGTACCATTTACCTCACCAGTCCATTTCAGAAATGGAACATTTCTTTGGTACTTCTAATGACACTCAGATTTACAGAAGGGCTACATAATAAAGTGTTTGTTTAATAGATTTACACACGGGCCTGGAGGCAGCCTAGTTTAGTAGAAAAAGCTTCAAGTCTACCTGTCTCATGGGACCTTAGACAAGTCACTCAGTCCACTGAACCTGTTTCCTTATCTTCAAAGTGGAGTTCCAAACAGTTTGCAGTGTTGTATGTATTAGAGCAGGGATGGTCTAGTCTGGAAGAACATCTAGAACAGTATGATATGTAGGTGTTCAATATATGAAAGCTATTTTCATGATCACATGTAAATGACACTGGAAACTGGACTGTGTTCATCAGAGCCCTGGCATGTGAAAACGTGGTGGAAGAAAAGAGACAAGAAGGAAAGTGAACTCCAGCACTGGTTTCGCTCTCCCCAGCACTAGGGCTGAGCGATTCATAGATGTTCATTTATACGTTCATTCAACAAATGCTGAGCACCTTCTATGTTAAACAAATGATTAATAGATAAAGGCTTGTTCTCATGGTGCTCATATTCTAGAAAGGGAGGATATCAATAATTGAATGAATAAAATAATGTTGATAAGTGCAATAAAGAAGATTAAATAGGACAAGTGATAGCGATTTGGGAGTTCCACTTCAGATTGGAGGGGCAGGGAAGGCCTCTGAGGATATGGCATTTGAACTGAAATCCGAATGAGGACGATGGAGGCCTGGGAAGTGGTAACCACAAATGCTAATGCTCTGAGATGGAAAAGACCTGTGTGAGTCTAAAGAACAAAAAGAAAGCTGAGTGGTGTGGCTGGAGTTAGAAGAGAGAAGAGAAGCAGGAAATGGAGTCAGAGAGACAGGCAAGGCCAGATTTCAAAGAGCTTTGTACATTTTGTAGACCATAGGCCTTTCTACTCCCGTGCATCTGTGCCTCTAAATGCATATACCTTTTACATCTTTATTTTATGTTTGTAATGAAGACACATTCTGAGAATCCACACAATGACAAATGTGCAAATATCTAGTATGGGGACTATCATGTAATAGGCTGGTTCTCAGTTTGGTTTCTTTCCTTCGAAGGTAGCGATTCTCAGATGTGTGCGGGTCTCAGAATCTGCACATCATACTGCTGTTTTGGGAGCATGATGAAAATTGGAGTAGTCAGTTTCATTTCTGCACAAGGAAGAGTTTTTCAGCATAAAAAATCTGATTATATATATTCTGATCTTTACATCACAAGAAGTAACCATACAATTTTTTAAAACCCTCATTTCCAGGTTTTCTGACTGGTATTCATTTGCTAGTATTTTCTAACAGGCAAGCTAAGACAATTATTTGAAGAAAACTTAAAAATTTGAGAAAAACATATCTATTGACTTCTGTTTTTGGTGAACTTTTTCTGGTTAGTACCAGAAGATCAGTGTGTTCCAGGAGCACAGTTTGAGATTCTCTATTCTGAAGAGTCTAAAGGCAGAAGTTGCTAAAGGACTAACAGGGAAGAAAGTTTTGCTTCCAATTTTTTATTACCAGCGGTGAAATCTTAGAAGAGCTGGGTGCTTACTGAGGAACTGAAAAGTGAAGGTTAGCTTTTACGTCTTCCATGGCCCAGGAAGAAGAGAAGCCCCCTTGCCAGAGGTTCCTGGTGATAGCAGTGGGGTTATGGGCAGCAAAATGCTTTAGCTGGTGGCAGAGAAGAAAATAGGCAACCAGTCTTCCCAGTGCTTCTCTGAGAATTTTCGCAGAGGATTGAATCAGTAAATGATAAAACTCCCCTGCATCTCCTAGTCCCCTAAGTCTCCCGGTACCATATTCTTATCCATCAGGACGCCCTGCCTCTTCCCTCAGAGGCCTGCCTTCACCCTCTGCCTCCAAACATGGACGCCATTCTCCATGGTTGAGAGCTGGGCGAGGCCCAGGCCTGCTGTGAGACAAAGGGGAGGGAGGGCCAGGTAGCTGTTACACCAGGTGGCATAGGTTGGAATGCTGAATTGATTTAACCATAGAAATTGTGACCTAATAGTGATTAAGTATTTTACCACTATTAATGTATTAATATTATTTCAGGTTCTTTTATTTGGGGAGAGGGGAAAAGTGGGGAGAATGTAAATGGTCTGGAGTTGGAAACTGTTAAATTGACAAAATTTTGATTCTCCATGTTGCCCCATTTTAAGATATTCTTTTTCATAAAATTGGAAAAATAACTGAAATAAATGACTATTAATTTTCTGATACAGTGAGTAATTGATGACATCTCAGACAACCTATACATCAAAAAGAAAAACTTTCTGTAGTTCTGTGCTTCTCATCAATATGGTCTTTTACAATCATGTTACTATAGATGGCTGATTTCATTTTCTAGACAATTCCAAGGAGGCTGTGAGTGCTTTATTTTTAGACCTGTCTACATAGTAACTGCTAACTTATCCAGATCCCTAACAATAAGAAAGTTCAACGATCTGCGAGTTTCCAAAGCCCTATTCCATATAGTATCTTTTGAGTCAGAAAAAAAAGTTCAGCTTATGATAAGTGAATTTTATGTTCTTTTTTGAAAATTGCTGTGTATACCTTATAGTATGTGAATCTTATACCGTATATGGAAATGCCCAGCTAAACATTGAAAGTTGCAGGTAAATTATTTTTAAAATTATCTGAAAGAGGCCAACTTGGGAGGGCTGAAGGTTGGCCGAGGAGCGGAAGGGTTGCAAGGGGAGATGCCCTGGAAACTGGAAAACCCTGCAGAGGGGAAAAAAATTTATTCTGATATTGACTGTTAAGTGAAAGGAATCAAGTCAAAGGACAGTGTAGTGTGGTCTGCCTGGTATTGACACAAACCTGTGTGTGTGTGTGTGTGTGTGTGTGTGTGTGTGTGTGTGTGTTCAGTGGCTTGCATGTAATAGCAACTCATTAAAATATGAAAGTTGCATGAGTTGGGCAAATCTGTAAGCTCTAGACTTCAATCTTCTTCTGTGACAGGAGGGTATTGTATTAGATCATTTCCAAGGACCTTTTTGGCTGTAAAGTCTTCTACACCTGATTTTCATAAGCCCCGTATCTTAAAATAGTGCATTGGTATGTGGTTGTTTTACTAATGTGATTATATGCAATACTTGGAACAGTACCTTTTAAAATTATATAAACCCCAGAAGATTGGCTAATCCATACTTTGGTACACACAGGTTTACAAATCTCTATGCATTGAAAAGGTCTCAGAGAAAGTAGGACATAAGCATCTTCAGTTTATAAGGTTCGGCAGGGAAAACTATAAAAGACTCATAAACATTTTTGTTCCTGTAGCCATCTGGAAAGAATAATATCTTCATTATGCTCTTGTTTCTATTGAGGATCTTAAAGAATATCACATTACATGCTGAAACTTTCATATTTGCAAACCAATGGAGATGATAGACTTGTCGGCTTTTGAGTGTCTCATTAGTGAGATGAGAGGAAAGCCAAATTAAATTTTTTTTGACAACTATATACTTTTAAACTATAGAAAAATGCCTAAAGGAAAATTGTGAACATTTTTATCAGAAAATGTTTTACTTGCTTTTCATATTATGTGTCATTTAAATCCCATAATAGAGCCATAAATATTATAGATTATAAATATCTGCTTACATAAATAACATATCTTCTCTTCCTCCCTTCTATCAAGATTGAAAAGGCCAAACCCATTAAATGTGGAACATTTGGTGCAGCATCTTTACAGCAGCGATATTTAGCTACTGGAGATTTTGATGGAAACCTTCACATATGGTAAGATTATTTAATCAGTATTCAGATAGATGAGATAAGCAATTTGATAGTCATATTACTCATCTTCTGAAAGAGTTCAAATTTTAAAATGTTTCTTTCCATGTTCAATTTTAACTATTAAAATATGAGAATTCTTTTAATATATATTTCTAGATTTCATATTCAAAATCCATTTTAAAATACTGACCTATATTACTTCATGCTCACTAGGTTAAAAATAATAAATGGAAAAGATAATAAATATTTAAAAAGAAAAAGAAAAATTAAAAAAATACTAACCTATTTTTCTTTAGATATTTTGGATAATATTATCAATACTTATTTTTACACATGCCATTTAGCATTTAATGCCATGTAAATAAAGGTCTGTTCTCCCTCCACCTTTAAGGATACAATATATAAAAATGCATATGTATAACTGAAAAATGAGATATTAATTGTTTACATTTCAACAAGAGATTTGGCATTACAGAGTGATACACTGAGTTTTTGTTGGTTTTAATTTTTTAATGTAGAACTCCCAATTCATTTAGTTTGTTTTTTAATGCTTTAACTAACATCTAAGCACAACTTTTTAGGAAAACATCTGTTGAACAAATCAAGTAAACCTGTTTTGAATGAGCAAATCACAATTGTGCCAGATGCCTTTAATTTTCATGTTTTATCTAGTTATTTCTTCATAGAGTTGAATGAATTGAAATTCCTCTTAATTACTTTCCAAGAAAATCTACTATTTTAACCTTTAAAGTATACAGTAGTGTTCTAGAAAGTTCTAGGAAAACTATTTTCCCTATGTTATGTTTTCTAATATGCCTTTCTTGATTCTCACTTAGAATCTGCTACTTTATAATTAAATTACTTTGACATATTTATCTTAGAACCATAATATAAAACAGAATGAAGCTATTTTAATTTTTCCTTGCTTTAACTGCTTAATAATTAAATTAGCATTTATTCATTAGATTTTACATGCTATATCATATACTTTCAGAGACATTGAGAGAGAGGCCAGTCTAAATGGGGTGTTTTTTGTTTTGTTTTTTGAGACAAGAGTCTTACTCTGTTATCTGGCTAGAGTGCAATGGTGTCATCATAGCTCAATGCAACCTCAAACTCCTGGATTCAAATGATCCTCCTGCATCAGCCTCCCGAGTAGCTGGGACTACAGGCATGCACCACCACGCCTGGCTAATTTTTCTATTTTTTGTGCAGATGGAGTCTCGCTCTTGCTCAGGCTGCTGTCAAACTCTTAACCTCTAGCGATTCTCCGACCTCAGCCTCCCAGACTTCTAGGATTACAGATGTGAGCCACCAGCACCTGGCCTGAATATTATTTTTTTTAATAGATATATTTCAGTGCAAGAATATGCAACAAATATAACGGTTGACCATCCTCCTAATACATTTTCCTAGTATAGTGCATATATTACCAACTTATTTTCATTGACACATCGTGTAATTTCATGTTAAAAAAAGGTAATCTTTTAAAGTCTAAACATAGTAAGACAGTTCTTTTAAGTAGAACCACAATCCTGTTTATTTTCTTGATTCTTTCATAATGAAGATAAAAAGATAAACATCATCTCTAAACTAGGTTGAAATATCTCAAATTTTTGATTAGTGAGACTTTACTAAATAAATCCTTGAATTAGACAAATTTCAGCCAGGCTGGAAGTAATATTTATTGTGACCACTATGATGATACATTGAAAAATATGTCACTAGATGAAAATCAGTATGGAATTCAGTGGGAAAATAATACATTATAAAGGAAGAAATGCATACAAAGTCAACACTACTCATATTTTATCTTTTAAAAAGGTCTCAAAATCAAACTACCAAGGCCTACTTTAGAAGAATTCCAAATCACTTTGAATTTACTCTATATTTAAAGCAGTGGTTAGATATCAGTGTACAAATAGCAGATTTGGGGACCCATCTGAGATTCTGATTCATTATGTCTGGGGAAGAGCCGGTGAATCTGCATGTGTTAACAAGCACACCTGGTGATTCATAGGTGGAGGTTCTTGGTAGATCATCTTTGAAGAACAGTAAGTAAAGTGGGCTCAGGAATTTGAATTCCAAGTTGAATATTGACATTTCTCATTGAGGGCTTGAAAGAAGCTGAAGTGGAGAGAAAAATTTAGAAGTAGATGTATAAATTATCTTCATAGTAAAACTTATTTTTAAACAAAAAATCTAAATATTTACATGCTTAAATTTTAGTGGCGGACTTAAATGTCTGGGACATGCGGTGTAAGTAAGAAGCTGTGTTTGTTGTTTAGGAATTTGGAAGCTCCAGAGACGCCAGTGTATTCTGTAAAGGGCCATAAAGAAATTATAAATACCGTAGATGGTATAGGTGGGCTAGGAATCGGAGAAGGAGCACCTGAAATTGTGACTGGCAGCCGAGATGGTGAGTCAATGTATTCTGTGTATTTTTAAAAAATTTTTTAATGGAAACCTCTATGCAACAGTACATCCTCTCTACATAAAAATCCCTTTCGGTTGCCTTGACCACCTAAATCTAACAATCTTGGTGCTGCTTTTTTAATGGCAAATTTGATTGCACATCCCTCACTTGTTTTAGGCTTTTGGGTATTTTGAGATAGAGGCATAGCAGTTACTATTTTAGTGTTGAGCTAATTCAGCTACTAACAATGATGGTTTCCTCCAAACCTTGAAGGATTTAAAATGTCTTTACAGGTTTTTGAGGCAGATGATGATATAATGTGGGTGGCAGCTTTTCATTTTCTTTTTTTAAAAGGCAGAATTAGTACTTGTGAAAATTGTCATATTGACAGCTGGTTGAAAATTGAAGTTCTGTGATCCATCCACTGAGCATTATAGAGAGTTCCAAGGGCACCAACTCAGCTCCTCTATCCTGCAGTAACCAACAAGAGAGGGTTTCTGGTGTCCAAAGCCATTCTGAATGACTCTTCACAGAGTCAGAATTTTCATTGCTTCATGAGGGGTACGTGAGAGATTTGGTACCTTAAATGATTTGGCTAGTTTTTTAATGGCTGCTCAAGACCATAAGGAAATTGTTTTAAAAGAAAAGTGAGATGTAATTTTCTAATAAGTACTCAAAAAGCAGCTGTGTTTTAGAAGTCACTTATTTTTTTCAATCATAAAAGCAATATGGAATATAGAAGAAAAAGTAACAATCTACCACCTCAGGCTCCCAGAGTGCTAGGATTACAGGGGTGAGCCACTGTGCCCGGCATCTACAAAATTTTCTAAAAAATTAGCTGGACATGGTGGTGTCCAGCTAATTAGATTTTTTTTTCCTTTCTGTCTTATGTGTAATTTTGCATAGTTATCAGTATGAATATGATTTTGTATCTTTTTCATTTAGTGTTTTGTCATATGTAACTGTTGCTGTTTCCATATAGTTTTCATAATTATCATTTTAATGACTATATAAATAATCCATCATATGGCTATACTTAACCATGCCCCTGTTAATAAGCATTCAGTTTGCTTTAAGTTTTTTGTTTATTGTTTTGGGATAGTGGCTTAAAAATAATGAAAAAATGAGTATTGTCATGTTTGCAACTCTTTTGGAATAAACATATTTTATGATTCTTAAAATTTATTGGCAAACCTTCCAAAGTACCTATTTATACTGTCAGCCACAATGGATGAAGTAGATTTCCATTCTGCCAGCATTGATTTTTCTCTTTCCCTCCCCTTATTTTTGTAGATAAAAATGGCATTCCATTACAACTTATAGTAACTTCTTTCTATGTTTGTTTACTAGTTAATTTTGTTTTATGAATTGTCTGTTTATGTTCTTTGCTCATTTAACTATTGCAAAGTTACTGCAAATATTGTCAATTTGTATAAATCCTGTAGAGTAAGATAATAACCTTTTATTACATTCATGGGAAATTTTTTTCTTCTTAAAGCAGCTTTTTTTTTTTTTCTGAAGACAGAGTCTTCTGCTCTTGCCTCGGCTAGAGTGCAGTGGCATCATCATAGCTCACTGCAACCTCAAACTCGTGGGCTCAAGTGGTCCTCCTGCCTTATCCTCCCGAGTAGCTGGGACTACTAGAGTCACACACCACCATGTCCAGCTAATTTTTAAAAAAATTTTTAGAGGCCGGGCACAGTGGCTCACCCCTGTAATCCTAGCACTCTGGGAGCCTGAGGCAGGAGGATTGCTCAAGGTCAGGAGTTTGAGACCAGCCTGAGCAAGAGCAAGACCCGTCTCTACTAAAAATAGAAAAATATATAAAAAAAAAATTAGCCAGGCATGGTGGTGCATGCTTGTAGTCCCAGCTATTCAGGAGGCTGAGGCAGTAAGTAGGATTGCTTGAGCCCAGGGGTTGGAGGTTGCTGTGAGCTAGGCTGACGCCACGGCACTCTAGCGGGGGCAACAGAATGAAACTCTATCTCAAAAAAAAAGAAAAAAGAAAAAGGCTGGACGTGGTGGCTCACGCCTGTAATCCTAGCACTCTGGGAGGCCGAGGCGGGTGGATTGCTTAAAGTCAGGAGTTCGAGACCAGCCTGAACAAGAGAGAGACCCTGTCTCTACTAAAAAATAGAAAGTAATGATCTGGACAACTAAAAAATATATAGATAGAAAAAATTAGCTGGGCATGGTGGCGCATGCCTATAGTCCCAGCTACTCCGGAGGCTGAGGCAGGAGGATCGCTTGAGCCCAGGAGTTTGAGGTTGCTGTGAGCTAGGCTAACGCCACGGCACTCACTCTAGCCAGGGCAACAGAGTGAGACTCTGTCTCAAAAAAAAAAAATTTTGTAGAGACAAGGTCTTGCTATGTTGCTCAGGCTGATCTTGAACTCCTGGCCTCTAGTGATCCTGCCACCTTGGCCTCTTCCCAAAGTGCTAGGATTTACAGGCATGAGTCATTGCCCCTAGCCATTAAAGCATTCTTTTTAATGATCAACTTTATTTTATCCCTGGAGATAAATCTAGTGTGATACCTCCATCTTTCCTGGGTTATTAGTCCTTTTAAGGATTTTTTGTTCTTTTCCTAGTCTCTCTGAGGTACTTGCCTTTTAGGCATTTTATTAAATGCATTTGCATTTCTCCTAGGTAGTGAACCATTTAGTTAGTAGTCTTGCAGCATGAATTAAAACAAAGGGGTTGCGATTAAACTGAGAAGAATTTTTTGTTAATTTTATTTAATATTTCTATACTATTGCCACAGGAAAATTAAACTTAGTGGTATATGAAATAATATTCTAGAATGCCATGTAAGAAACTATTAATTCAAAATTAGAGTTTATTTATGCCAATGGTTATATGGGTAGTAGGAAAAAAATAATAAAATTTATTCCTAATAAATAACAGTTTTAGGCTCATGTTTTGAATTACATAACATTTGTGTTTGCCATCATGCATAACTTGTAGATAACTTAGGAACAGTTGTTGGCTGTTCTGTCTATTAATTTAGAAATCAAGTCAGACAGTAACATATGGGTTATATCTCTGCTATCAAATACAACTTACCCAATTAGAAATCAGATGCACTATTGAATTTTGCCAACTCACTTTTATTCATGACAGGAACTGTGAAGGTGTGGGACCCAAGGCAAAAAGATGATCCTGTTGCTAACATGGAACCTGTACAAGGAGAAAACAAGAGAGACTGTTGGACTGTGGCATTTGGTAAATTACTGAAGAATTCTTGTATTTGAAGTATTAGATGGTAAAAAGCATGGTGCTTCAAGAAATTTCTGATAGTTTCTTTATAGTCTGTTTTGTGGATTATTCTGACAGTTTATTGAGGCAAGTATATGTGGTGGTTAATGTCAGCCTCTAGAACCTGGGTTTGAATCCTCACCTGCCACTTACTGGGTGTGTGGCCTGGGGCAAGTAACTAGAGTTCTCTGTTCCTTGGTTGCTTCGTTCATAAAATGGAACTAATAATAGAATTTACTTAATAGTGTTGTTACGAGTATTCAATGAGTTAATACATGTAACGTGCTGAGAATTGTACTTAGATTAAGTGCTCAAAAATATTTATTATTATGTGCTTCTGTTTAATTAGATAATACTGACTTAGTTTAGAATCAAATGCATTAATGGGGCTAAGCAGAGCCTCAAATGCAAATGGTAATGTAACAAATCTTGTATTACACTTGACACAGAGTATGTTTATTTTCTGCAAAATAGTTTGCCATTATAAAATTATTTCTTACAAATTTGATAACTTTGTTCCTTTGTTAATATACTTAAAATGAATATTGATTTTGTAGGACTGATATTTGCCCTTGAATCTCTTTCTTAGCATTGAAATTAAATTAATTTTTGCTACTAAAAGATATAGGCCATAATTAGTTGTGGGTTTGTTTTTTTTTTTTTTTAGTGGGGAGGGCACAAGTGCAATTTCATTACAGGCATAAATTGTGTGTGTAATGGTCAAGTCAGGGCTTTTAGACTATCCATCACCTGAAATACTTAGTTTTAAACCTCTGTTTTCTTTCCCCTTTTTCTTAGTATAAGCCTGTGTAGACAACAGGTATTAGAAGTGGGATTTAACACATTAACTGCCATGTGAGTTATATTTAACTCATGCTAGTTTTGAGCCTGGGGCCTTGTGAAGCATATGTAACTCATGAATCTCTTCACCTTGGGAGCCGAGAGAACTATTTTTCAAGTTGCATATAACTGATGCACAGAAAACAATAAAAAATAACAAATTTTTCATTAAATTAGAAAGGATCTTTTTTCCCCGATGTTTTTATTCTATTTTCGTAATAAAACATCATGGCCCCAAGGAAAAAATTGTTTTTTCTAGTGTGGCAGTCAATGTGTTAATGTATACATGAACTATTTAACTTTTTTTTTCTTTTTTTTTTTATTTCAGCATATTATGGGGGTACAGATGTTTAGGTTACGTATGTTGCCCTTGCCCCCCCGCCCCAAGTCCGAGTTTCAAGTGTGTCCATCCCTTGGATGGTGTTAACTTTTTATTTTATGTTTAAATGGGACTGTTACTTAATCAGAGGAAAGTTTTATATTGCCAATTTTTCAAAGAAATTGTTGTACAGGAATTACTATGTCTTTGTATACTATGAGCAATAATATAAACTTAAGATATGTACACTTTGGGAAGAAATTTCAGGATTAGTATTTAGAATGATACTTTTTAAATTGGTATCATAATTAAAAAGTAATTATTTTTAGATCTATTAAAGCTTTTACATCATTGATCTCAGGGACATAATTTCTATTTAAAATATAGGGCATTAAGTAAAAAAAAATTTGTCCATTGGTTTGACAAATTTTTTATGAATTCTAAGAATGTACAAAGTACTGTGGGCATGCAAACATGAAACAGACTCATATTTTAGCCTTAGGAAGCTTACAATGTAGTAAAGAAGGCATGATATCTGTGTTAGTTATAATACAAGATAGGAGTGATAGGTCACAAGAGGCATGGATAAATGCAGAGGGAATCCAGAGGAAGAGACAGCTGGAGAGGAAGAGCATTTTGAACTCAGATCAACGATACATAGGATTTCAACCACTGAAACTGGGAGAATATTTCAAGCATAAGGAATAATTTGAAAGTGCTCAAGAAAGTACAGTTGTCCCTTGGTATCTGTGAGGGATTGCTTCCAGGACCTCCCGTGGATATTAAAATCCGTGGATGTTCAGATCCCTTGTATAAAATGGCATAGTATCTGCTTCATGCCCTAGAAGAAGTCAAAAATATCAACATAATAAATAAAAAAATAAAATGGCATAGTATTTGCATATAACCTACATATATCCTTCCATATACTGTAAATCATCTCTAGATTACTTATAATACTTAATGCAATGTAAATGCTATGCAGATAGTCACATTGTTTAGGGAATAATGATAAGACGAAAAAGTTTGTACATGTTCAGTACAGATGCAAATTTTTTTCAAATATTTTGAATCCATCGTTGTTTGAAACGGTGGATACAGAACCCATGAATATGGAGGCCAACTGTATAGAGAATGGAATAATGATAGGAATAGCCTTAGAGATGTCTCAGTACTGCAGCCAGAGGTGTTTGAATGGTCTAGAGGTAGTTGTAAGCCTGGAAAGGTTTTTGCAAGGAAGAAATGTGATCTGAGCTTCAGGAGAATTACCTGGTGGTGTGTAATGGGGAGAGATGAGTGGCACAGGGGATGTGAGTTCAGGAGCTCTTTTCAATCTTCCAGGTAAGACATAGGTTAGAAGCATTGAGAACAGAACAGAGCTGATGAGTCAAAACATAATATTGTGGCAGAATACATAGAATTTGGCAACTTTTTGGATATGAATAACAAGGGAGAGGATTATGTCCAAGATGACTGAGTTTTGAGGGTGCTTGTGGGGTGAATGATGTTATTACTTGAAAAAGTTCCTCAAGGGGTGGGATGGTTTGTAAGGGAAGATGGTGAGGTCAGTTTGGGACATCATGAATTTAAGACGCTGCTTTGCCATGTAGGTGGAGCCCAGGGTGGATGTGCGGGGCTATAGTTTATGAGAAAGAGGAAGCTGGAGGCAGTGGAGCATGAGGGCATTGGGGTAAGATGCCCAGATAGCCTAGCGCAGTGGCAGGGGCCTCATTCTTACTTAGCACTCTTTCCTCAGCAAGAGGGACTCGGGAAAAATCCCTGCATCCCATACTTCAGGTATGATCATCCATACTACTAAAGATATGTAGCACAGTGTGCTGCAGCTTACTTCATATTTCCTTGCAAAGGCGGGATCACACCAGAACATTTTGCAAAATACCTAAGTTTTAAAGTAGCTTCTATTTGCATTCAGATTTAGTTACTGCCAAGGGAAGCAACAGAAGCGTAGTGTATTTATCCTCGCAAACCCTGCTATGTTTGAACTGTAGTTGGCCTGCTAGTCTTTGCAGAGAGAGCATTTTCTTTCAATTTAGAATCTGGTGGACACTTTCACATACCCCTTTAGTATAGAATTTCGGTGAATGAGCTTTCTTTTTAAAAAAATAATAGATACCGAATTAATAATCTTGATGTCCTGTCAGAATTAATAAAATGGGATTCCACTCAATGTGATTTTTAAAATCTCATTTGGTATAGGTTATATGTGCTCTAGATATGGAAAAAACAAAAGAAAAAAAGGAGAAACAAACAAAAATAAATAAATAAATGGTGTAAGTTATATGTATAGTTTCATAAGATGTTTTTTTAGCAGCCTTCAAATTAGCATTTATAGGATATGAAATGTTGTATCTTGATTTTCAGGCAATGCTTATAATCAAGAGGAACGTGTTGTTTGTGCTGGCTATGACAATGGGGATATCAAGCTGTTTGATCTCAGAAATATGTCATTGCGGTGGGAGACAAACATAAAAAATGGGGTAATGTACATTCTGATGCTTTTTGGTTTCTCTGAGCATGTTTCCATCCACCTCTGAGCTACTACAGGAAAGCACTTCTATTAGCTCATCTCAATCAACCCCTCTCCCAATGGTTCTTAACCTTTTGGAGCCAAACGCCTTTGGGAAACTAATGAAAATCACGGATCCTCTCTTCAGAAAGTGAACACACACCCACATGTGGTATGTACAATGCCTAGGGAATCACCAGTCCCTGAGGCCCGTCTGTGGACCCCTGTGGGCCATGCAGTATGATATCACAAAGAGCAAGTAAGAGGCCTTTTGTCTGCTAATAACAGAAAGCCCAAAATAGTAATTATCTCCCCTCGTACCCTCAGGTTTTTGGTTCCTGAGTTGTGCACCTTTAGTGAAGAATGTGGTTCCCTCTTGTTTTCTAAAGCCAGCCTTGACGTCACTGTATTAAATCACGTCAAAGGTTAAATGATGGCTTTCCAAATGCATCCACTGAGCGTGGGAACCCGAGATGGTTTGTTTGGTTGATCTTATTAATGGCGAAGAATTTTTTTTTTTTACAGGAACAGTATTTGATGTATTGATGCAAAAGATAAAATGATTGTTTAAGTGCTTTCACAGTATCTGATCATTTTAAAGCTGTTTTACATAGTTTAAAAGAGCCTCCTGAGTTATAATGGTGAGATTATCAATAATAAATATTCTCTATCTTCAGGTGTGTAGCTTGGAATTTGACAGAAAAGACATAAGTATGAATAAGTTAGTAGCCACATCTCTGGAAGGAAAGTTTCACGTTTTTGACATGAGAACACAGCATCCAACCAAAGGCTTTGCCTCTGTTTCAGAAAAGGTAAATATATGGAAAATGTCTTTCCATGAAGAGGAATGATAGCTTGTTTAAGACTAATAAATAGAATTAGTCACCAAGGTTCCTTCCAGGTCTTTATGTGAAGGGAGCTATTTTTGATATATTATCGTGGGATCTTGACAAGTTTTTCTGTGCAAAGAGTACTTTCCTAAAGTTTATCAACCTTAGACTTCTTTATTATAATAAAACTCTCAGTTAGCTAGGAATCTTATTTTGTAGTTTAGGAGCAATCACAAGAAACCTAGCTGATGTTAGAAATTTGATTGACAAAACCCAGCCTGGTGTTTTCTAATAAATATATGATATTTGTATTAATATCTAATTATATACTGTCAAAATATATATCTCTATATATATCATTTCATATTTTATTTTATATCCCAGTTTGCTATATTAAATGAAATTATTTTAAACAATGATTGCTGTGATTAGTACAAAGTATGTGTTCAATAATGTTTATTTATTTATGTGTTTATTTGTACTTTGTATTTGAGGTAGCTGAGAGGGAAACATGGTATTACAGCATTAGAAGAATAAATGAGAAAAGCAGGGCAAAGGGAAAATAATGGTTCAAGAAAAAAAGATAATGTCTGGAATGGAGGATTATATAAAATTCATGCTGAGACATCCTGTCATTTACAGGAGATGGGTTGGAATTGTGACTCTGAGATTCCTCAGGTATAGAAAGAAAGAAAGAAAGATCCGTTACAGATTCATAGTTTCCATAAGATTAAAATGTACAAGTTGCTCAGGAAATAAGAATTTATTCCCTTGCTCCCTCTCCCTCCACTGTGGATTCAGTAGGATTTCTCAAACTTTTCTATTTTGTCTCATTTTATTATTATTATTATGTGTAAATCACTGTCACTGCCTGATGTACTAAATTCTTAACAGGTAGCTCTAAATTATAATATTGTTTTACCTTTGTCATTTCAGAATATATTAAGCATCAACAACATATAACGCTTGACTAAATTGTTTCATATATAATGTGCAACATATTTCTCATCTATAAATAACAATGTCATCTCCAAAATTTTTTCGTTATATTTAGTTAATCCTGTTATTGCTAACTATGTCAAATAAATAACTCTGATATATTTAAAGAGGTCATTTTCTCTCTTGCTTTTTGTGTTTTTCTCAACTTCTAAAAGAAAAAGAGATGTTGAAGCTACAAAACAAATTTTCAACAGCTTGAATTTGATCACTTGGGGACTCTCACACACTTAAAATGTGTGTTTTGAGATATGTGGTTTTATCTGCTAATGGTAATTCTCTCAAAAGACTATTAAAATCAAATGTCAAGACAATTCACTCACTAAAATGTGACGTGTGCTGTGTTAGCCAGCCCTACCGCTTCTACAAAGCAGATGTCATTATCTCCTTCTTCCTTTCTCTCCCTACATCTCTCTCTCTCTCTCTCTCTCTCTCTCTCTCTCTACCCCCCCAAGTTCCCCCACAGTGAAGAAAGCACTGCCAAGGGGGATTTACTGGCTGTTGTTGAGGTGCTAACAAACTGCTAACCTTCCAGTTGCCTGTTTTTTAGTTTACTGTGACTGATGAAGGCCTTGGCTTATTATGACTGTACATACTGTCTATAAGTCCTCATTATTTTGAAGTCCTTCCTTATTTTGAAGACTGGACAAGTCAAATGGCAAGATAAGGCTCTGGCAGCTGTAGGTTAAAAAATTCAATCTGTAAATGGGACCTCTCTATATTTTCTGCTCAGTTTTGCTGTGAATCTAAAATTGTTCTAAAAGCTAAAGTCTTTTTTTTAAAAAAAAAAAATATCAGTCTATACTTTTTCTCCCCTTAGGAAGAAGTATTTATTTTTGTATTTCAAGTGTTTTTTCCCTTTAGAATGAACTAGAATATTTAAATGTATACAATCTATTGTTATAATTTATATGGTACAATAAAATTAAATGGACTGTTAATCTAATACCTTTCTTTTTATTTAAATTGGTAGAACTTTGTTTTGTAAGGCAATAAAGAAAAATGTTGCTTTTCTAATTTCTTATGGGGTCCTGTAAATCTCTGGAGCCACTATAAAGAGATGTGCCGAAAATAACTTTGCTTTGATAACAGTTGAAATTGTAGTGAAAATTTTTTGTTTGTGGGGTTTCTCTTCCAGGGTCCCATTTAGCGTATAAACCAGTTGTGTACCTCTCGTCCTATTTAGGCTCATAAATCTACTGTATGGCAGGTCCGACACCTGCCGCAGAACAGAGAGCTCTTTCTGACAGCTGGAGGCGCCGGCAGCCTTCATCTCTGGAAGTAGTAAGTCTCTCCCGGTGCACACTGCTCCGTTTTCGGTTCCTTGTGGGTGTAAAGTAGGATTAGATTGAACTTTTTTGTCTTTTTTTTCCTGCTTTGACTTCGTTCATTTTGATATGATTTTAAATTTCATGGTGTTATGTAACTATTGTTTTCTAAGCTTTTTTTTTTTTTTTTTTACTAATGTACCTATTTTATACTTAGTAAATATTAACCTTTTTTTGGCACACTAAATATATTTGTCATTTTAGTTTTGTCTGCTATATCCATTAGAGTAGCCTAGGAACAGTTTTTTTCATAGATTTGAAATTACAGTTTTTGCTAGTTTAAGTATGAAAAAGTTGGCCCAAGACATTTATCAAATATTGTCTTCTAGTCATTAGAACACTACCTCTAGAAGATAGGAAAGGATTGGAATTCTTAGTTTTAGATCCTGATAATTCACTTGCCTAAAATCAGATAACGTCACTGTGATAGAACCAAACAGAGCCCGGCACTGCTGACTGGTCTCCAGGAAAGACACTGTCCTTGAGCTTGCTTTCTGCATACCCGGGCAGGGTGAGCTACGGTGAGAGTTGTTACCATACGCTGCTGAACTCAGTGAATCCCGGGGGCCCTAATGTGATAGATACTAGGTCAGCTGCTCATTTAAAAGGTCTGATAAAAAATTAGGAGTTAAGGCCGGGCGCGGTGGCTCACGCCTGTAATCCTAGCACTCTGGGAGGCCGAGGCGGGCGGATCGTTTGAGCTCAGGAGTTCGAGACCAGCCCGAGCAAGAGCGAGACCCCGTCTCTACTAAAAATACAAAGAAATTAATTGGACAGCTAAAAATATATAGAAAAAATTAGCCGGGCATGGTGGTGCATGCCTGTAGTCCCAGCTACTCGGGAGGCTGAGGCAGTAGGATTGCTTGAGCCCAGGAGTTTGAGGTTGCTGTGAGCTAGGCTGACGCCACGGCACTCTAGCCCGGGCAACAAACAGAGTGAGACTCTGTCTAAAAAAAAAAAAAAAAAAATTAGGAGTTAATGGTGTGTTTTTGAATCCTTTATTAGCTAAGCAATGTATACTTGGAGGGAAAAAATGAAATCTTTCCATAAACATCACCAGGAAAAAAAAATAACACAAGCCCATGAATGAAGGATATTTTAAAAACTAAGTTTGATTAATAATACAAGAAGAAAAACATCATCTTCAATATGTCTGGGACTTTCACATTTACAAAATCCTTCCCTATTAGCTTATTTTATCTTATTTTTTTGAGATGGGGTCTTGCTCTGTTGCCAGGGCTAGAGTATAGTGGGGTCATTATAGCTCACAACAACCTCAAACTCCCAGGCTCAAGCGATCCTCCTGCCTCAGCCTCACAAGTAGCCGGGACTATAGGTGAACGACACCACACCCGGCTAATTATTCTATTTTTTGGAGAGACGGGGTCTGCTCTTGCTGATGCTGGTCTCAAACTCCTGACTACAAGTGATCCTCCCACCTCGGCCTCCCACAGTGCTAGGATTACAGGTGTGAGCCTCCGTGCCCAGCCTGTTAGCTCCTTTTGTTCATAGAAGCTGGAAGGGATTCTGAAAAACAGGGCTACAATTGGAAAGTACTTGGTAAAGTACTATATTCAGGGATATAGCTGGCAAAAAACGGAGAGTGAATGCTTTAGATCAAAACGATGTGGTTTCTGTGAGGAGAAAAACAGCAGAAAAGTTCTGGGAGTTCTGGGAGAATATAGGGCAGATAGATCGTTTGGCAGTTTCTCCACCCGGCACCTTTGCCTGTTGGGCTTCCTGATTCTTCCACCCTAGACCCCACCACAGAGGCTCTGCCAGTCCCACATCACTATTTTACTTGATGATCAAACTTTAGGCTGCCTACTCGAAGAACTAGTCCCAGTTTTCTTTGTAATCCACACATGGATTTATATCCCATGTGTCATGCAAACACGTTTGCAGCTAGAATTTGACTATAATGGATTTAATTATATCAGCAAAGTTGAGTCTGTATGCAATTAGAAACTTGACCTGTATCTCAGTGTGAACTTTAATCTTTTTTTTTTTTTGAGACAGAGTTTCGCTTTGTTGCCCAGGCTAGAGTGAGTGCCGTGGGGTCAGCCTAGCTCACAGCAACCTCAAACTCCTGGGCTCAAGCAATCCTTCTGCCTCAGCCTCCCGAGTAGCTGGGACCACAGGCATGCGCCACACCACCATGCCCGGCTAATTTTTTCTCTATATATATATTTTTAGTTGTCCAGATCATTTCTTTCTATTTTTTAGTAGAACCGGGGGTCTCGCTCTCGCTCAGGCTGGTCTTGAACTCCTGACCTTGAGCGATCCACCCGCCTCGGCCTCCCAGAGTGCTAGGATTACAGGCGTGAGCCACTGTGCTCGGCCTGAACTTTAATCTTTACTGTAACAGAGGTCTAGTCTAATCTTCCAATTGGTTTGGAGCTTTGCTGTCAAGTATTCTACCAGCAAAGGGAGTTGGTTTAAGTAAAATGATATTTAGCTTTATTTCCATTTGCCAATCTGCCTTGGTAGTAATGCGATTAAATTGTAAAAATATATTGAGCATTTAACCAAGAGTTCCTCAAGGAATTCATCTGGTTATTCAAAATGGTCTTTTTTTTTGAATGAATAGACCCCAACTTTTTTTGATTATTTGAAACACACACACATATGCTTTTAAAACTTAAATAAATAATATGGAGGATTTTAAAAAGTCTTTATCTTTTAAATACTAAATTACTGCAGTCTTTACCAAGAGACATATGAAAAACGTCTGTATTTAAATTATTTATTCACCTGAATGTTTTATTCCTTTTAATTGAAATAATTTGTAAGGTCTAAAAGGATAGTTGAAGAGAGAATAGTAGGTTATCTACCTATAGCTTCCTTCACTTTTGCTCTGCCTATCATTTGTTTTGTATCGCTTAAGCTCTTGGCCTTTATTAGCATTTATGAAATAGAGGTAATGTCATAATTGATACTTAATAGGTTTTAAAAGGCCTTCTGAGGAGGAATACCTCTGTATTTCACTAGGAACACAATCTCCATAGGGGGAGCGATGTTTCATTTTTCCCCCTCTCAAATCTAGACAAAGTCATATTTATGAGTTGTTAACCTTCAGCTCTTCTGACTTTATAAATTTATATTTTTAGCTGAAAAAAAAAAAAAACAAATGTTCTCAGAATCACTTTTTTCTTTTTTTGAAGCAATAATGTTTAGATCTAAAAAATCCACCCAGTGGTGCCTTCCCATAGAAATGGTACACAAAGGTCCTTAGGCGTGGAGGATTATATATATAATATATATAATGGAGCTCTAGGGTTAGAAACTGGTGTCAGTTCTCCATTCTAGAAATGTTTGGACGAGGTTCTTCAAATGCTACTTACAGCTATTGCCTTTGCGCATTGTGTTTGCCTGTGGAGTCCAGCAACCTGAATATAGAGAAAAATTACAACAAAGGATTCTCAAAAGCACCAAGTAAATTTATTAAAGAATGCTAAATCAACCTAAAACTTCCATATTAGAATAGAAAATACAATACATGCTGAACAGAAATGATATTTAGAAGTTTTTAGTATTAGTAGAGCTAACCCTTCTTTATGAGGTGTTGGGGGGATAGGGTTGAGGTTGAAATCATGTCTCTTTATTGGCATACAATTCAATATTAGAAAGATTGTTTAAGTATTTATTAGTTCCAGTAATGAACTGAGAAATAAAAATAGAGCCATTGAGGTATATGTATAGAAATAAAATGGTAAATGCTAAGATTTACGTCCTCTTACCTCTTTGATCTTGTTTTCAGCGAGTACCCTGTTCAGCGGTCGAAGAAAGATTCCGAGGGAGTGGAGATGGGAGTTGCGGGTTCCGTCAGCCTTCTGCAGAATGTTACGTTGTCTACCCAGCCCATTTCAAGTTTGGACTGGAGTCCAGATAAAAGGGGTCTCTGCCTCTGTAGTTCATTTGACCAAACGGTAAGAGTACTGATTGTTACAAAACTCCATAAAATTTGATCTGAAGACTTTGGACTTGAAACCTTCCAGAGGAACACTCATAGAACTTAAGATATGTTCTGAGATCCTGTAACCTTCATTGAACAAAGTTGGATTTGGCTGATGAAAAAAGGCCCCAGATGCAAACCTGCAGGCTAGCTTCCAGCTTCTCCCAGGGTGTGTTCGCTGACCTGACTGGACGCTGGCTTGCTGCTATGCGTGGACACCACTGTCTCCAGGGCAGGCTCTTGTCCTCTCCCTGCCATTTCAAATACAAAGTCAATAATTGCTTATATTTAAATATATTTCAAATTCATTCTGCATCCCCGAAGTTCTATGTTTTATCTTTTACACTTGTGTTTTAGTGTTTATAATGTTGTGGTAGGAATCACTTCATTTGGTTTAAAATAGTATCCCTTGGAAAAACTACTGTGTGTTAACCTTCATAAATACATTCTGAGAGATTTGAGTGTCAGTAATTTTCTATACAGAATATTATTTTATAAAACACCAAAATGGCACTGTTGGACTAGATTTGGGTAACTGTTTTCAGCAATTTCATTGTTCATAAAACAAAATACTATGATTTACAAAGACCTCTTTTTTACTTAAAATAGAGGAATTGGTGAGACTTTTGGTTACTGATTGTGGTAAGTGGTGGTGAGATGTACAAGACTGGGGGGGGTTTGTAGTATTTTTTGTCAAATCTTTTTAATGTATTTTGTGAATAAACTTATGTTTTTGAAATCTATGGAAGCTCTGATTCTGTTAACAGTAGTAATAAAGTCAACACCATGACTTCATTTTGCTTTATAAATGTTTAATACGTACTTCTTCATTCACTCTGTTTCTCGTATCTTTAGCTTTAGAAGTATTGACTTAATCACACTTTTATTAAACCTATTCTCCCCCCACTTCCGTTCAAGAGAGCAGAGCCACCTAAAACTTTCATAATATGTAAAATTTATGTGATTTCAGGGGTTCATGGAGAGTCATTTGTTTGGAATATTAAGTCCAGAAAATCAACCTTTTTCAGTTTCTAAATTGTTTTATATAACAATGCTGTGGACAGAATTATAAAAGTAAAAATTAAATTGAACTTAAAGCTTATCCCTGCTGGGTTTTTTTTCAATTTTCAAAGAAAAAATGGAAAATTTATAAAAATCTCTCTTAGAACACTTGTATTTGGTGGTATAATTAGAAAGGTTTAAGTCAAGAACAATAAATCCTGCATTGCATTAAATCTAAGATGTCATAGATTATAAGATTATCTAATACCACTGATGATATGCTGGTATGATATGCTGCCAGTGAAACGATGCTAAAATGCTATCACTTAGTGTTTGTTTTATATTCGTTGACTGTTCTAGTAAGTTTATTTAGACATAGTTTTTTTCATTATATATCTACTGTTGGGCATCCTTACAAAGGAAAATATATGCAAAATAAATTTGTTATCATATTCCTCAGATTTCTTTATACTCAGAGTCTGATCCTTCTAGATCTCTTTTTGAATTCAGAGTCATCGGTGTTCATGTTTTTCATTACAGTATTGTCCTTTGTACATAAAGGCATGGTGATTGCAGCATTTCTTTAAAACATGTTCCACTATTGTCTTCAGGGTTTTCTTTCAGTTAACTGACACTCATTCTACAAGTCTTGGCGTACACATCCGGGCAATGAAAATTGTCATGACCATGGCCTGGCTGACTGTGACTATTGCAGTTGTCTGTTGCTGTATAACCACTGCAGAACTTTGTATTTTATAACAGTAATGATCATTTACTTTGCTAGGAATCTGCTATTTGTCAGGGCTTGGCAGAGAAGGCTCATCTAGGCCCCATGCTGCTTCAGGCAGGCAGCTCTAGTTAGGGCTGTGGCTCTGCTTCCAAGACGGCCCTCGCTCACATGATTGCAGGCTGGTGCTGGCTGTCAGCTAGGACCTCATGAGCTCCCTCAGAGAATGGTGGCCAGGTTCCAAGGATCAGCATCCTAAGAGAAGGTCAGGGAGAAGCTATCTTGTTTTTTAATGGCCTAGCTTCATAATTCACTAAGCATCACTTTACCACACTTTATTAGTTGAAGCAGTCACAAAGACACCCCCTGCCCCCAAGTTCAAGGGGAAGGGACGTAAATTCTGTTTCTTGATGAGGGCTTGTCTAGATTCTGGAAGAGCATGTGAGACTTGAAATCGGGTGGCCATTTTTGGAAAATACAATCTAGCACAGTGATTATAAGATGCAACCCAATTTCAAAGATGCAAAAATGGGCAGGGGAATGTGCTCATTAGAATTGATGAAATACCTTACTTGGAATGCAGATACTCCTATCCCACCCCTCTGCACACACCCCTCCCTGCTGCTAATCTAGTGCAGACATGACCAATCAATCATGGCACTCAGTTTTTCCTGAGTCCCACAAGCTTTATCACACTTCTACTAGGAGCCACTACCAACTACTGGCAGGTGAGCTAAAACTTATATACTGACCTGACTCTAGAGAGCAGTGCCCTGTGCAAGCCAGCTAGGCTCCTGGGCCAAGAGTCACTGGACACCCCTCTCCCCAATACTTGGTTTTTGTTTCAGTACGATAAGAAGTGAAGAGGCTCTCCAGCACTAGACCATGTAAACCAAACTGATTCCAAAACCAAAATGGCACTTTGTTTAATGGAGGCATGTGCCCTTTAGCTACCAAATGCTTACTTAGGTTTGGCAGCTGAGCACCTTCTTCGTGTCAGTTTTTCTGAGGTGCCGTATGACTGTCCTGAAGGATTCCTGAGTGCAGAATTAGAGACAGATGTTGACAGTATTTAAAAATAATTCATCCAGGCCTTCGTGAAGCCTAAAAAAACCCATCTCAGAAGAGTGAGACCCTAGGCTATTGTGCACATTTTTGCTGCAAGCTTGTTTCCATTCTTCTTTAGCATAACATATAGCACTTTGCTAGGTGTAGTGGTAAATTAGTGTTTTGGGAAGGGATCCCTGGAATAATTCTCACCGTGGGGCCTAGGACCTTCCAGGTAAATGCTACTTTGTAAATAATCCCCCCCGCCCCACTTGGCCACCAGACTGTCCTGTAAAGTAGGTGAAGCATGTAGGCTTTGGATATAAAGCTGCCTTGTGCAACCTTATTATAATATGGCAATCTAAAATCGGGTGCTATGAGTAATTTGAAAATATGTGGGCAATTGGCTTTTAGCTATGTTTTTTCAAAAGACTGGTTGGTTATTTTTACCCAGGAAGTCCCATCTCTGAATGTCACCACGCAGTGAAGCAGGAAACACTGAACTCGGTGCGACGAGACACCAAACCCCCAAGCCGCTAAGAACTCCCCCTTGAAGTTGGGCCGTACCCAGTAGTCCCAATTAAACAGGGGGCCCAATGCTGCTCTCCTGAGAGAGCCTGGGGGCCCTGGGCTTATGCTGCTGGGACCTGCTGAGACCTGCTGACAGAAGTTCTGTCCCTGGTCCAGCCGGCTGAGGACTCAGGGTGGGCAGGACAACATCCTCTACCCTGCTCCACCCTGCACCCCTGAATGCCTCCTGACAGTGGTAAGAAATCCTTTGGCCAGTGGATTCCTCCCTCCATCTTCCCTACTGGGTGTAGGGTGAACAAGTGGCAGCATGAAAACTTCATGAATCTGTGTCTAGAGGGATCTAGAGGGAAAAGGACCTGCTTTTTCCTCAACCCCAGAACCAGAAAAGTGGTTATTAATCAGAACAACACAGAGGGAGCAGATGCAGATTGTCCTCGCGATGCCAAGACCATTAATGCAGTTGCCTGCAGGTTTTGTCTAGATTCAGGATAAACACAACCTCTGTTCATAGGGAAAACAAAGATATCAGAAACACCTATGGCTGTGACCAAATACAGCTGCACATTTATACAGTGGAGCCGGAGCAGTTTTCATGAAGGATTCTTTAACAATTGAACTTTGCGTTTGGTGTCCTGATCCAGCTCTATCCCTAAGCCAGCTTCAAACCAGATCACTCAGTAGTGCCCTTTACACAACATTTAGTAAATGTTGATTGGTGATAAGAATGATAAAATAATGACAAAACAAGTAATTAGAAAAAAATAAGTCCATCTTACCTCTGGCCTGTTTTCTCAAGGTCTCTCAATTGATTTGGTTCAGATGCAGATAATTGAAAACCCAAAATACAGATTTTTTTTATTTCTCTCTCTCATCATAATCTAGGTAGGCAGTCCAGGCTGCTGTAGTGGCTCCACAATGACCAGGAACCTGGCTTCCTCTCTTGTTTCTCCACCATTCCCATGATGTATCTTTTAACTCATTTTCCAGTGTAGCTGCTCCAGCTCTAACCATCACATCCACGTTCTAGCTATTAGAAAAGTAGGAAAAATAAGAAAAGGAACACCTTGCCACTTTCAAGAACACTTTTGCTTTTATCCATGGGTCATGATTTATCCATGTGGTCACCCCTATCAGAGTAAGACTGAGAAAGATGAACTTTATTCTGTGCAATGATACACCTGTTAATATCCAAGAGTTCTGGTCCTGAGGAAGATAGAGAATGGATATTAGGAGACATAAGTGGATTCTGCCACAGTGTGACTAACAATCAAGCATAAAGTCTCCCTGGCTCAGTTATCCCAGGAGGTTAAAAACTAGGGCGTGATCAATTCATGCCTCTTTAGGCCAGATCTGGGTCTTGGCGCCCAACACTACCCTTTGGCGATTGTATCTTCTCCGTCAGCTGGTATAAACCAGACACAGTAGAATCACTTGTTTCTTCTTGCTCCTCGAATTACTTTTATCATCCTTTAGGTACAGCAATGGAAGCCCAGTAAAAAAATATGAAAGGAAAATTCCCCTAAAAACTCAAATTGATCATCTATTATGAAATTCTTTTCTTGGGGAATTTATTTTTACTTAATAATAATTTCTTTCGAATCCTAAATACTTTTTCCATTCAGAAGCAGTCCAAAGACAGTGCGGTAGAACGTGAACAGAGAAAGCACTTTACCTCGTGCATTTCCATAAATTCACAAGAGAAACTTGAAGGCAGAACAGCATATACGTGATCCAGAGTGTATTGGTACCTGCCTAAAATCACTTTTGTTGGTGATTTAGGTGGATACATTTTGTATTTATATAGGAAAAATAATTTTTTTCCCTGTGAATGTCTTAAGGACTGCCCAACACAAAATATCATTCCGTCCTTTTTCTGCATAGAACAGACAAAAAGTTTCTAACAAATACTTAGTGTTTGTGAGACATGAAATTTAATTATGCCTGGACACTATCAGATCTGCCTCTTAACGACGCTCAGTGAACCGTCTTCTCCCCGGGAAGGAGGCGC